CTAATAGGTAAATAATTTAACTAGGTTTTAGGTGGATATATCCAAGTACAAGGGAATCATTCTGATAATGTTTTTTCTTATTCTAAGGAAACCACAAGATGTTGCAGCAGTTAAAACTTGAAGGTATTTAGCTATAACAAGAAATTTGTAGTTACTTTAATGTTGGTATTAGAGGTTAAATAAAACAATAGAATAACTGAATCTGAAAGCCTAGACATTGTTTGCTGATCTCTTGATGTAGAAAAACCTGATTATAATCACATTGGTACTTGCTTTTATATATGCTCAATACATATTATATATGAAAATGTTTCTGTTTTGTTTTTTCATTTATTTAACTTGAATATTCTGCCTTTTATGTGTTGGGGGGCTGCGTGTTTGTTTGGTTGGTTTTTTGACTGTTTTGTTTTTGTTTTCTTCTGTAATTCCCTTAGTTTCTCTTGAAATAGACCAGTTGCTATGAAAGTAGTTTGGAATAGCATGCTGCCTGGTTTTGGCTTTAACACTCGTAGGCAACCAGTGGCACTGCTGGGTATTTGCATAGAAATGAAGAGCCACTTCCTTCTTTTCCTAACAGTTTTTGTCTGTATAGGGGCAGTATCTGGAAAGATCAGTGCAGCTCTGTTAGAAAATTACTTGAATAATAATTTTGGTTTTTTCCTTCCTGAAATGGTTTGGTCTTCTCCTTAAGAATGTTATCTAGACAATTAATCTCAAGATTTTGCTGTGCTGTTGATCTTTGGCAGCAAATTGTCAGGTCTTCTGAGTTCCTGTGTGTATCAGCTCTTGATACTTTACTGATGAGAATTGCCAAGATGAATTCTACAGTTTATGTTTGCAGCTGTCTGCTTTTCTGAGCTCTCAAACCAGAGGAGAAATGCAGGAAAGTGGAAATACTCTTCTGTTATTTTAATAGTTTTACTACTCTTACTACATTTACTTTTATATACCTTATGTTAAATGAGGTAAGATGTTCTCCACTTTCAATTGGAAAGAGGGAAATGTAGAAGTAACACCTAATCCAATTAATGTATTTTCCTGCTCTGATTAATTGTGATGACTTTGAGCATCTGGTGGTAACTGAGCATGAGCTGCTTAAGTCACAGAAACCCAATTCCTATTATTTCTGCTCATTGAAGAGAATAAATGAATTACCAGACACTAATCTTGGGATAATTGCTTGCTGAGCAGGAGATTTTAGCTCTTAAAGAAATTAGTTTTGTAAGTTTATGGAGATGTCAGAACTAGTGAACTATTAAAAAAAGGTTAACCACAAATTAACAGCAGCTGAGCTTTCAGTCTTTTATTCCTAACTATTATAGTTGAACTTTGCAATATAGAAATATATGCAGTGGTGATAAATATTATTTCTTCTCCGTTGTTGTAGTTTAGTCCCAGCCAAAACTGGGACACCCTTATGAGTGGGACACACATTTATGAGTTTTACTATTCCTTATCAATTGAAGTTTAAGCTGGAGACTGAAATTTGTCAATGTTTCTGGCAGTACAACTGTAGGAGGTATGTGCAGTAAGATACACTATGTACTGCTGGTTTGAATGACCAAACTATTTTGGGTTTGAAGTAACTGTTATTTTGGATTGGTCCTCTGATTTGGACGTAGAGGAAGGTGTGTGCTTTTTACCTCTAGACTGTCTACCCTGTGACATTACAGCAGTTTTCCTTATTCTCCTTCATTTTATATGACTTAGGCAGTTCAGTGTCCAAAATTCTCTGAGTTCTTCATAACTGCATGGCCTTGTGATTTATGGCTTTAGGGTACTGGTATTTGAAAGTCATCTTGCTTTTCACTGGTGGTCCTACTGCTTTGCCTTTGGAGAGCAGCGTGAAGGAGGTGTTAGGAGTTATCATTCATAGTTCCTGCTCAGTGGCATTGACCTCACTGGGGTCTTCTACTGGGTCTGGGAGCAGACTTCCTCCCCCACACATATATCTGGAAACATCAGAGCCTAAAAATAACTAGATAAGCAAGCAAGCCTCAAATACATGTAAAATTTTCCCCTGTAGAATAAAATGCATGTTAACTAATTTTCAAAACCTTTTATTTTCAGGATAACTAAGGAGTATTTCAAGGGTTCCTGGATCTTTCTGTCCTGATGGGTATTTTCTGTCTCTGTAGAATTTTGCTATGGGCAGTCAGTGCAATTTTTTGAGGCTATAAAAATCTGTATTTCTCTTTCAAATTCCTGTTCTGTGTCTGGTCTTTACAAATAACAGTATATAGTCATTCAGATTTTTTTGCACTGTTTATAATAATGTCCAATACATTACATGTTTGATCAAAACTCCACAGGGATTCTGGCAGAGTGATAACAATATCCTGGGTTTACTCGGATTAGTACTCTGATTGGAAGTATTTGTTTCATGCAATATGTTTCTGCCTGTCAGTGAGAACTGCACTTCTGTCCTATAGACAGTCTTTATTGTGGAAACTCTGTTTGAAACTTCCTCAGCTTAAAAGGGTAAGCTTTCTTTATTCCCTTTCCATTTATTTTAACTACTGTCAAAATATCAGGATATAGCAGACTCCACATATAAGGACACTACTATTGATATTCTTTAGGCACAAACTGTGATCCATGGAAGTTGTGTTTGACTTGTATTCAGAGTGGGCATGGAGGCTTCAGAGCCTTCCTCCAGTCAATGTCCAGGTATCATCCAGGGGTTGGTAACAGTGGAAGTTAAAAAGCTATGTATGTACTGTCACAGGTACTTGCTGCAAATACACAATGTTTTATTTTCAACACACAAGAAAGAAACAGCATTTCCTTTTGCAGTCATGAACTTCTGTTTCTGAATGCAGAGACACACTTTTAGGAAAGTACAAAAACAGAATCATACCCAGCCTACTGCTTGCCGGTTTGTTTCTGCCACAGCATAGCCCCAGTCCTCCTAAAAAAAATTATAGGAGCTGCACACAGTGGAAAGAAATCTACTATGGGAGAAAAATCAATATTGTATTTGTTATTGCAGAATTGAATATTGATAGTGAAAATATTAGAGTAATTAGAATTAGATATATCAAAAAAGTCTTTGAATAAATTGGTAGAAAATGCAGAATTATGTTATTTCAAACTTATGGGTCTTCACAAATACAATTGTGCAATCAGGAAAATGGCTTATTTTTGACATTTTTTGGTGGTCAGGAGTATCGCACTATGTACAGTGTATCAAAAGCAGAATAAATTGAAAAGTATGTTACTTTTTTCCCCACTGTTGTCTTTGAGTTTCCCGGACTACTGCTAGTAGAGGCTTCCTTGATTTGGTATTTCCCAATGCCTTTTTATTTCTAATTTAGAGTTAATTATATTTAATATATATTAAATTAATATATTTAATATAATTATTAATACCTTTCCTGAGTGCTTGAAAGTTGGTTTTAAAACCAGATGGTTCAAATTCTGAATTTTATGAAGAAGTTATCATATGCAAAAGAACCAGTACACACCTATTGCACAGTCAGAACTAATAAGGTTGGAGAAGACCTCTAAGCCCAAACCACTAATCCAGCACTGTTAAGTCCATCACTAAATGTGTCCGCAAATGTCACATCCACATGCTTTTTGAACGCTTACAGGGATGGTGATTCCACCACTCTTCTGGGCAGCATATTCTCAATGCCTGACCATCCTTTTGGGGAAGAAATTTTTCCTAATATGCGGTTCACAATATCCTCTCCTGGTACAACCTGAGAGATTTCCTCTTGTCCTGTGACTTCCTGCATGGGAGAAGGGACCAACCCCTGCCTTGATATAAATTCCAGACCCTAACTTTTGAATGCAAACCAGGAGTATGGCATAATAAGAAGCAGTGGGGGCTTTTATTTTGCACACAACTTATTGCGTACATCCCTGGCTGTGTGATTTACTGCTTTTTTAAAATGGAATTTGTGTTGCTGTGACTAATGAGTGGTTGCATTGTGTCAGTGTGCTCACTGGCATGACTGCACTTGAGAAAATAAACTGCCTTGGTGCTAAACCTGATTATAAAGATTTTTGAATAATTGAATTCAACTTTTGTCTTTTAAAGTAATGTCTTCAGTTGTATGAGAACTCTCCCAAGGAGAACTGGGAACTGCTGACTGAAATATGTAATAGGTTCTGTAATTTTCTGGCAGCAGTTTCATTATTAAAATTGATATTTTATTTGCTGTTATAATCTTGAGCCACTTGGGAACAAACCTCTAGGGTAAACTAAAGAATGTTTAATTTATCAAAAAATGTGGTTGCTTGTTGTTTCTGTTGTATCTTCTTCCTTGTGTTTGGTAGCTATGGAGAAAAGAAACTCATTGCATAAAAACATCCTGGGACCTCCATTTGTAAGGCTGTGCTGATCCTGCTGTTAATTTGCAAGGAAGATTTACACCCTTTCCTTTCAAGCACACTGGCAGTGGATTTTGGAGGAAATAGCCCTGCTTATGAAAACTCTCCTAGCTGTGGTGTCTGTGTTAATGATAGGCTGGGTAGGATCTCTGGATCCCCTGTTCAGATCAAGTTCAGTCAGATCAGATGACTTGGGGCCTTTGTCCAGCTGAGTTTGGATGGAGATCTCGTATTCCATCTTCTGCCTCTTGTGTTATAGCTGGACACCTTTGAGCAGTGTAGTAATGTTTTCTCTGCCTTTTAAGTAACTGTAGATGTCAATAAGATCTGCACTCCTTGTGCCCCCCAAAACTTTTCATAAGGCTGAAAACCCCCAAATCTGTTATTCTTCCCTCCAACATTAGGTGCTCCAACCCTTAGTTACCTTGGTGGCCTTCTGCTCTCAGTTCAATAGATCAGTCTGTCTCTTGCTCTGGGGTGCAGAAAACTCAGAGCAGCTCCAGACAGAGCCTAATGAAAATGGAATGCCCGTGTTCCTCAGCCTGCTGGTAATGCTCCTGCTAATGCAGCTTGGAGTGCAGTCAGTTTTTGTTGCTGAAGGGCACCGTGCTGGCTCACATTCAACTTGTGTCTGTGAGGTCTCACATGTCCCCTTCCGTGAATCTGCTGTCTAAGCAATTGATCTGCAGTCTGTACTGGCTCCTGTTGTTTCATCCCAGGTACAAGACTTTGCATTTGCCTCTGAATTCCTTCTGTCTGCTGTTGTCCCTTTTGTCAGCACGTTGAGGTCCCTGCACATAGCAGCCCTGACCTTCAGCATATCAGTCACTCCTTCCAATGTGATACAAGTTGGTACCTGTCAAGTGTTTATTTTAGTGCATGTTATCTTTTATAAAACCGGCTGTATGTCTTTAATGCTTAGTAAGAGGCTTTTGCACTGGAAGTGAATCTAAGATAGTGTTCTGTCTAGTAATTGATGCTTACAAATTACTAGTAATTGATGTTTATGGAGCCTACAAAGTAATTTCTGCTGTTCTACGCCTTATTCCCCTTGGTCAGTCTGATTTTTGAACTTGGAGAGGGTTGAAATCCAACTGACATCAATTGCATTTAATACCTGTGAACTTCAGAATGCTCAGTGGTATAGGATGCACCATTAAAATTTATTTTCTTAATATAATCAATACTTGCTTGTGTTCTAAATGTGCTTTCTGATAATTTTGGGAGCCCCATCCCATTTTTGTTTGATGAGAAATTAAAAAGTAAATTACTTTATTAGATCATCCATATATATTCTCTCTTTAAAAAAAACCCAAAACGCACAATAAAGCCAACTAAACAAAAAAACATCTTTCAGCTGCAGTCACCTGAGTTTGTGTTTTAAGATGAGGAATTTTGTCTCTTCACATCATCTCTGTTTTCCAGGTGATTAATTAATATTGCCAAACAGCAAGGGACTCAAAATGGATTCCTTCTGGATGTTGCTGGTAATTGCTTTCTGTATGCTAATTTGACCCCTCCTCGTTTCTTTAACCCACTTTATTCATACCTCTGAGGGCTTTTCTCTTATCAAATGGAAACTCTGTTTTTCTAAGAATCTTTTATGATGGATGAACCCTTTGTTGAAAGCTGCTAGAAGTTCCATGCTAAACCTACTTTGAATGGCATGTTGCTTTAGCATATCCAGATAATTCATGATAAGTGATTATATCTAAACACTGTTTTCTTAAATCCTTTTATTCAAAAGAAGTTTAATGCAGGATTCATGGTTGCTTGATGAGTGATAAGTATTTAAAGCTGCTTTTAGATGTGCAAAAGTTCATGATGTTCAGCTGCTTTGAAGAGGTCTTGTGTCAGAGCTGGTGACCTCATTGTAGTGAATAACTACTTTTGTTTTAGTGCTTTCTAGAATAAAAATTAGATGAGAGAGAAGAGTACTCCTTTAGGAAGGAAATAAACCTTGTAAAAGAATAAGTTCTTCTAAGTTCTTCTTCTAAGTTTTATTCCAATTTATTAGCAAAATGCAGAAAATATACTTGAAAATATAAATTCTCTAATTATGTATTGAAGAGCCTTTGTTCTTCTTGAGGAGTAGTTTTGAAAATAAGTTGTAGTTGTATCTTCACCACATGGAAATTATGGGGTCTTTTCTTCTCAAACAAACAAAAAAGAATTTTTTCCTACCCCTATATTCAAAAAAATAATACTTTTCTTTTATCTGGCTATATTAAAGCCATGAAAAGGGTGGTGGTCCTAAGCTTCTACCAACTTGCACCTAGCAAATATTTAGTTCTGATTGTCAGTGAACCTACTATTTATGTTCGGCAATATTGCAGTGTATGGCATCATCTGTTTGCCTTGGCAAGGTTATGTGATGATACTTTTTGGCAGGGGATGAGGGGCAAGGGAGAAAGACTGATAGAGACTTTCATGCTTTGTTCCTTCCAGCCTTTTGAAAAGCAGGAATGCCCCAGTTTGACAGTACCCATCTTGAATATGAACAGTTTGAGTAAATTTGTCCTCTGTATTCTAAGGAGCTGTCCCTGGTTGCATTTAGGAATGGAAGAGAGACATGTAAAAATAATTTTATTGCTTTGGGTCTTTTTATTTTCAAGTTTCTGTGATTTCTCATATGAAGTCTGTAATGTTCTTATGAGTAGCAAACTGGTTGTATATCTGCCAGAATCTTTTAGTAACTATCTTAGAAGTTTTTTAGTGGTTTTTTTTTTTTTTTTTTTTTCTAATTGATTCACTTCAGAGCTCCTGAAAGTTAAAGCATTGCCTCAAGCTAAGCATGATGTTGGCAGGAGTTGTGCAAACTTCTTTGTGTAGTTTTTGCCAGAGAACCTTGTTCTTGACCTGAAATATCCCTCCTGTTTCCAGCTGTGAGCTTTGTGAACAAACAGTATGAATTTTGACAAGCTGATCATTATTCACGCAGAATAATTTATTAGATCAAATTTTTGTTCCTAATTAGTTTCCCTTTGTTTTTTTAACAAGCTTTACTTCGTTGTTTTCACTACCTTCTTATCAGCTCTTAGTTTTTTCTCATGTTCTTAGGTTAAGTAAGTAATTCTAAGAAATGACTGAAGGGTGCAGGTGACATGTGACATTGCATTGTCTAGTTTAAATGTCAGATACCACATGTAACTTACTGGCTAAGAATGTATTAAAATGCAACATAATTGTATTGGTACATGGAATTATCTGAATTAGTCTTTAAACTGTGATGTTCATAAGCCAGGAATACCCAGGGAGAGAATTAATTAAATTGCAGCTTTAAAAGAAAATTGAATTTGGGGTGGTTTGGCATTTAAATTGCTGCATCAGGTTTTATTTCACAATAAGCTAGTGTTATATGCTATTTAGAAAATCAGGAATTTCTCCTGAAGCTAAATTTTTCCTCACTCAAATAGTGGGAAAGGTTGTGTAAGACATAAAATAGTCTGTACTACAGTTAGTATGTGTGATTCCTTAATGCCTGAATGATACTATGATGGAAGTGGTGGACTATTTCCCCTGTTAATACAGCATACATTTTTTTTCCCCTCTTACGTGTCCCATTAATCTTCCATTTGAACAATGAATAATGTTGAAGTAAAGTTCATTGTGAGCCATTAGAAGATAGGGAGGCAATTTTTAAAATTAAAACAAACCAATCCAGAAACTCACCTAAAACTCAACTCAAAATGTAACCAACCCTTGCCCCTGTGCACACAGTCCTACCCAGGTACTCAGTACCTGCTGTTGGGCAACCAGACCACACAGATGAATGTGTCAAAGTGGTCTTGTTAGAAATCCTCCTGGTGCTATGAGTGATGGGATATTCCTGCTATCAAAATCTTCATGTTGATGGGTTTTTCTTAGGTCGGTTATGTGCTGGATTTAGACTTTTGTACCCTATAGGAGATCATAGTGGTGAGGATCTCTTAATCCTGTTCCACCTCTGAGCCATTACTGAGATTAGAATTCACTCAGTCCCTTGTTTCCCTTTCCTGGCTGCCTTCTATCTTTAATCTTGTTGTTTATCTTGCCACCATTATCTCTCAGTGACCTAACCTATAGATTGTCCCCTACTATAGTGCAAATGTAGTCCTTGTTTTACTGACTTCGGTATTTTGAGGAGCGATAGGTAGATGTACAGTGATCTTTGATCTGCTTATCTAAGTGTAATCAACATGTGCTGCTGTTTTCTCCTGCTATTCTTCCTGGTGTTTCCACACCCAGGGATTCCCATTCATTGTCCAGTTAGTTGTAATGTTTCTATGTCTCTGCATTAATGTCTCTGCATTTGTACAAAAAGGGAAAGAACACATGCCTCTGTTCCACAATAGCAGTTTCTCATCTGCTATACCCCTTAAAGTATTAAAATATGCCTTTCAGATCTATTGCCTCAACTGTTATGAAAATTACTCCCTTTTTGTTTGGGTAACTACTTTGCCTACACATTATTTTATAGGGCTTCAGTTTGTTAGAATCTTTTTGCTCCCATCTGTCACCCAAGAAATCTGCCTAGTTTTCCTTTTTCCCCTTTTCTTGCTTTCTCTACCTTGTTGGTGCCAAAGGAAACACAAGACTCCAATGCCACACTAGCTTTAGTGCTGGAGCTTATTATCTTAATGCTTTTCTTGGTTTTGGTATTGCAACTCCTGTCTTGTTCATACCTGCAGAGTTACTGATCCTCAGATCTTACAAACCTGCTCAACACTTGACAGTTCCTCAGTTTCAGGCTCTCGATTCACTTCCTTTTGTGGGCTGAGTGTGCATTCCCTGTACAGTGAAGCTTCTCTTGTTTCCCTTAAAGAAACTCCCTGAAGAGCAGCCACCTCCTTCTAAAGATGGATTCTTAGAGAACTGGTGGGATGGTTGTTAGCAGGTTTGAACTGCCAAAGGCTCCTCACATTACTGCTGATTTCATCCTCCTTTGGTACCCAGTGCTTTTCACTGAATAAAGCACAAGCCACAGGGCCTTCTGCGCTCCAGTCTGCGCCCTGAATTGAAAGCAATCAGGCCTTTTGATTGTTTGTTTTCTTTGGCTTGGCTGGGGGATACTGAGTGTCTACAGCTTTTCTTTGAAACACTTTAGCTAAAGAAACATGTCTGCTGTAGTTTAGTTTGTAACAATTTTAGTGTAATTAAAAAACAGGCGCTGTCCTTTTGCTGTCTGCGCTCCCAGTAATTAGTTGTGCAGTCTGTTGGATTGATACTTGTGTTTGCAGTCTTACTTGAAAATTCTCCAACACTACTCATGAGCAGTTATGCTAATAATTAATGTTGTTGATTACTTTTACCTGGTCCTAGTTTACATTATGCTGTGCTATCAAGGTCAAGCTGCACAACAAATTTCCGTATTTCTGTTTAGGGATCAGGCATGGAAGCTTGGGAATGGGTGGGGTTTTTTTTGGTTTTTTTTGTGGGTGTTTTGGGTTTTTTTGGGGTTTTTTTTGTTTGTTTGTTTTGTTGTTTTGTTTTGTTTTTTTTTTTTTTTTTCCCCCTGTGTAGACACTTGGACTTCATGGAAATTTGGAACAGCTGAGGAAGTGCAGGGCTTCCTAGAGGTTTTCTTTATGATGGAATAATGCTCTTTTTATCAGTATAAAAGCTACTGGGACATCTCCACGATTTTAGTGCAACGCCTTCTTACCCCTTGATACAATTCAGAGCTCCTGATGACACCTCAGTTAACTCTATAGTAGCTGGGAGTAAATTTTACAGTGGCTCTTCAGGAGGACAAACTATTGCCAAGTGGACACTGTACATGACAACTCCTTTGCTAAGATGGTGGAATTAAAACTGGACTTTCAGAATTGGAAATGTCTTGTTTAGCCATCTCTACTGAATGTAGCTATGTCACTAGTTTTAAGTGTTTGGGAAGATCTTGGGCCAGATCTGACACCCTGAGAGCAATGAAGATGCTGCAGCTTTGTGTCCCTGGTGTGGCCAGTAGTGAGGCTGAAAATATTTCCTGTTGGCACTCTCACACACACGTGTGCACATGCACACCACATGTACATATGTGTGCACAGCTGGCCACACAAATTAACTGACAGGCACCCAAATAGCAACATTCACATGAACACAGCACTACTGATGTCATCCTACTCCCTTCTCTAGCTGAACAGGATGGAATTCTGGTAGTGTGAATGTGTGTGTAGCTGTATTTCTAATATATGTATACATGTTTGCAGTGTGAATCCTTCCAAGTGCTTGTTTCAGACCCTCAGATGTGAACACAGACGCCTTGACCAGGAGAAGTTTAAATGGGAATTTAGCAAGCAGACAGGACAGGCTGTGCTAGGCAGAGGCAAGGCATGGCGAAATGACCATACCAGTCAGGAAACTGCTTACATATGGGCAATGCTTTTTACCCTCTCATAATTCTTACTTTTCCACACTTGTTCCTTCCCAAAACCCCTAAACATCTCCCTGGTTCCTCCCATAAATGTCCCTTAAGTTAGTTGTGTAATCCTGAAATGCTTTTCCCTCA